TGAAAATGATGATAGTATATGAAAAAAAAAGTAAATTAATTAAAGTGAAATAAAACCAGACTGATGAAAATGATGATAGTATATGAAAAAAAAAGTAAATTAATAAGATATGATATTAAAGATGACTATGAGTTATCACAACGAATTTCCACAACCAAGCGTTAAATGGAAGTGAAATTCGATATTGCTGTTAATTAAGTTTTACGCGATCAGGACTTTATCGATGTTTTCGTGTGGTGGTACGGTTGCCTATGTTTTTTTTTTTTTTTTTTTCTCTCTCTCTCTTTTTTCTTTTCTCTTATTTTTTTCACTCTTATTTTCTTTTTCTCTTTTTTTTCTTTCCTCCTCCCTTTCTTCTCTGTCTTTATTCTCTGTCTCTGTCTCTCTCTCTCTCTCTCTCTCTCTCTCTCTCTCTCTCTCTCTCTCTCTCTCTCTCTCTCTCTCTCTCTCTCTCTCTCTCTCTCTCTCTCTCTCTCTCTCTCTCTCCCTCTCCCCTCCTCTCCCTCTCCTTCTCCCTCTCTCCCCTCCTCCCTCTCCTCTCCCTCTCCCCTCCCTCCCCTCCCTCACCTCCTCCCTCCCTCCCTGCCCCCCTTCCCTCCTCTACTCCCTCGTTCTTTTTTCTTTAATCGCAACACTTTCCCACCGCCACGCCCACCAGGCACCCACATCCGGGGATTGTGCGAGCGTAGGTGGGCGTTGGGGTATACTGACGCGAGCAGGCAAGGGTGTAGGGTTGGTTACGCCCGTGGGAGGAGGGGCGGGTGTGGAGGGGGAGGGGGGGCGGGTGGAGGGGGAGGGGGGAGGGGCGGTGTGGAGGGGAAAGGAGGGGAGGAGGGGCGGTGTGGAGGGGGAAGGGGGGGGGGAGTAGCGGTGTGGAGGGGGAACGGAGGGGGGGGGGTGAGGGGCGGTGTGGGAGGGGGAAGGGTGAGGGGGGGGTGAATTGATGGTGAAACGCGATTCCTATTTTTTGCTTTTGTCTTTTGTGTGTCTGTCTGTCTGTCTGTCAGTCTGGTTGGCTACTTTCACTCTTTGTTGGGTTCTTTCTCCTCTTCCTATTTCTATATATTTTTTATTTATTTCTTCTTCCTCTTCCTTATTTTCTTCTTCATCGTCATCTTCATCTTCTTCTTTCACCTTCTCCTCTTCCTCCTCCTCCCCTTCCCCATCACCATCACCTCCTTCCTCCCTCTCCTATTCCCTCTTCTTCCTCCTCCTCCTCCTCCTCCTCCTCTTCCCTCTCACCTCCCTCCCTCCCCGTCCTCCTCCTCCTCCTCCTCCTCCTCCTCCTCCTCCTCTCTCCTCCTCCTCCTCCCCTCCTCCTCCACCTCCTCCTCTCCCCCCCCCCGGATAAAGCCACAATTTGAGTAGGCTTTTCGCTCGTTAAGGAAGACAGTTAAGCCTTCAACCCCGAGTCCCTTGGCCATGATGAAGTCCTTGGGTCTTGGTCTTTTGGGGGTGAGTTTCTCTTTCTTTCTTTCTTTCTTTCTTTCTTTTCTTTGTGTCTCTTTCTTTCTTTGTCTTTTTTTTATATCGGTTTCTTTTTTTTTGTGTTTCCCACTTTTTCTTTCTTTCTGTCTTTGTGTTTTCTCTCCTCTCTTTCATTTCTCTTTCTGTTTCTCTCTCTCATTCTCTCTCTCTCTCTCTCTCTCTCTCTCTCTCTCTCTCTCTCTCTCTCTCTCTCTCTCTCCTCTCTCTCTCTCTCTCTCTCTCTCTCTCTCTCTCTCTCTCTCAAACCCAGAAACAAAATGACAATAACGAACACGGTTTTCGCTAAAACAAAAGAGGAGAAGAGAGGGAAGAGAAGGGAAGCATAATACACATCGAAAGAGGGAAGAGACGAAACAGGGGAGAAAAAAGAACGAGGGCAGGAGGTGAAAGAGGGGAGAGAGGGAAGGAAGACAGACGGGGAAAAGGAAGAGGGAAGGGAGGGGAGAGAGGGAGGAGGGGGGAGAGGGAGGAATAGGAAGAGGGGAGAGAGGGGAAGAGGGAGGAGGGAGAGAAAGGGAGGAGAGGGAAGGAGGGAGAGAGAGGAAGAGGGAGGAGGGGAGAGAGAGGGAGGAAGAGGGGGAGAGAGGAGAGAGAGGGAGAGAAGAGGAGAAGGGGAGAGGAGAAGAAGGGGGGATGATTGCGCCATTTGTTCACTAAATGACTAGAAATGTGTGTTTACATCGGGGTGACGATAGGGGGGAGGGGGGGGGGCTAATACTGATGACCTCGTCGAGAGAGAGAGTGAGAGAGAGAGAGAGAGAGAGAGAGAGAGAGAGAGAGAGAGAGAGAGAGGAGAGAGAGAGAGAGAGAGAGAGAGAGAGAGAGAGAAGAGAATAAAAGAAAAGAAAGAGAGAAAGAGAGAGAATAAAAGAAAGAGAGAGAATGAGAGAAATTGTTATGTAGAGACCAACTAGGAA